CCTCGGCCTTCGGGGGGAGCAGGAAAGAGAAGGGGGCCCGGCTTGCATTTCCTATTATTTCTCTTTCTCTGCATGCCCCGCTTGGCCTCGGCCTTCGGGGGGAGCAGGAAAGAGAAAGGGGCCCGCTTGCATTCCCTATTATTTCTCTTTCTCTGCATGCCCCGCTTGGCCTCGGCCATCGGGGGGAGCAGGAAAGAGAAAGGCGATGTAAAAGTAAGCCTATATATATGTGTATATATAATATAGCTACAATAGCAATAATATACTATAGCTATAGTAGTTATAGTATTTGCAACGTTGGGGAGTTCATAATAGGGAATACTAGGAAATAAAAAGGATATAATAGGGAATGACCGCTGTTAGTTTCCATACCTCTCATTCCAAGGCTATACAGAAGTAAGATATATGCATATATGTATATATGATATAGCTATAATACCAATAATATCGTATGGCTATAATAGCTATAGTATTTGCAACGTTGGGGGTTTTATAATAGGAAATAATAAGAAATAAAAGGGAAATTTCATGATTTCGATCTATGTTTGTTTGACTTTCACCCAGCGGAAGGTCCACCATCCTTGGCAGGTCTGGTCTTCCTCGACGCGGCGGCGACGTCGACGCGGGCGTTCCAGGTTGACGCTCATTGTGTGTATGTAGATATGTACACGAGAGGTGGTGTGTGTAGGTAGAGAAGTTTACGATATGTGGTGTGTGTATGTATATACACGATAATTGTCGTATGTGTGTAGACATGTGTACGAGGAGTGGTGTGCGCATGTGGGTGTGCATGTAGATATGTATTTGATATGTGTTGTACGTGTGTAAGTATGTATACGATATGAGTTGTATCTAGGTAGATAGTTATGTATACGATACGTGTTGTGTGTCGGCGTATAAGCGGTAAATCTTTCCCGGGTATGTAGACACGTATGCGATATGAGTTGTGCGCATGTGGTTATGTATACGAGACGTGTCGCGTGTATGTAGATAAGCATACAATAGGTGTTGTGTACGTAGATACGTATATGATGAGTGATGTGTGCGTGTAAATAGGTATACGATGTGGGTTGTGTGTGTGTGCGTGTGCAGACACGTGGACGAAATATAGTGTGTATGCATGTCGATATGTATAGATATGTGCTGCGTGGGTATCGAGATGTAGACGCCATGTTTTGTGCGTAGGTATACATGTATTCGAGATGTGTTGCGTGTAGGTAGATATCTATACGATATGTATTATGTATATGTACGGATGTATAAGATTTTTGTAGTGCGTATGGATATATGTATACGATATGTGTTGCGTGTAGGGAGGCCTGTGTACGACACGTGTTGTGAGTATGTGAATACGTGTTCGATATGTGTTGTGCGTAGGTAGATACGTACACTGTATGTGTCGTGTGTAAGTAAATATGTATACGATAAGTGTTGTGTGTATAGATATCTATATACGATTTTGTTTCACGGATGTTTACATGCATACGGTAGGGTGTGTGCGTATGTGGTTATGTCTACGATATGTTCAGTCCCGAGTGCTCTCCTAAAAACATCCTAATTAGATTTTGGCCTCTGGGGGCCGTTGTCGGGCCTCGTGGCCATCGGGCCCCACCCCCAGGCTAGATGTTCATATCTCGGATTGCGTTCCGGCGGCCTCGTGGCCGAATGGGGGCCTCCGGCGGCCCAATCTGCGGGCAGGGTCAGCCGTCGATGTGGCGCCGGGGCGGGGCGAGGGCCTGGAGCGGTAGGGGGAATGCTGCCCCTCTCCTTTCCCCCTCTTTCATTTCCCCCCATCCTCCCTGGTCCCTCCTCCTCTTCCGTATGGGGTCTCCTCCGCCCTCCTGCCCCCGAGCTCTTCCCCCGGTTCTCCGATTCTTCCACCCCTTGCCACTTTTCCGTCGCTGGGGGGGCTTTCGCGCCCTGCGAGGGGCCGCGCGCCCCAAGAGCCAAGAGGGGCGGCGTGGAGGAGGAGGAGGAAGGAGAAGGAGGAGGAGGAGGAGGAGGAGGAGGAGGAGGGGGAGGAGGAGAAGGTGGAGGAGGAGGGAGGAGGAGGAGGAGGAGGAAACGAGCGGGACGGAGGAGGAGGAGGCGGAGGAGGAGGAGGAGGAGGAGGAGGAGAGGGAGGGGGAGGAGCAGGAGGAGGAGGGCGCCGGGCGCGGGTGGGCGCGTCCAGGCTGGTAACGGCGGTGATGATGACTATGATGGTACTGGTGATGCCCGTGCAGATTCCGATGGCGACGGTGACGACGACGATGATGATGGTGGCGTTGGTGATGTTGGATCTGGAAAGGCCGTTTGGTCTACGGCGCCCCGCAGACCAGCGCCCTCCCCGGCGTCGGCGGCGGCCGTCGCGAGGGGGGCCCATGGGCAAGCGCGCGGCGCCCGAGGCGGTGGCGCCCGCGGCCGCCGCGCCCGCTGCTGGGGCGGCGGCCGCTGCACCCGCTGCCGAAGCGGCGGCGCCAGAGGCGGCGGAGGCGGCGGCCGCGGCCGCCGCGCCCGCCAGCGCCCCCGCCGTGGCGCCCAAACGGCGCGGCGGGGGCGCGTACGCGAAGGCTCGCGCGGAGGCCGCGGAGGCGCGCGCGACCGACGCGGAGGCTCGCGCGGCCGACGCGGAGGCGCGCTTGGCCGACGCGGAGGCGCGCGCGGCCGACGCGGAGGCGCGCGCGGCCGCCGCAGAGCAGCGCGCGGCCTCCGCGGAGGTTCGCGCGGTCGCGGAGGCGCAGCGCGCGGCTGCCGCAGAGGCGCGCGCTGTGGAGGCGGCGCGGCGCCAGCGGCCGCCGGAGGACCGCGATGGCGCGGAGTCGTACTGCCGGCTGCTGGCGGAGGTTCTCCAGCTGCACGACATCGCGGTCCTCGGGGGGGGACCTCGCGATGTTGTGCAGTTGGGGATTCCCTTCCAGCAGCTGCAGGTCCCCCCGCGCTGGCTCGGGGTGTACTCGCGGGCGGAGCTCGTCCAACGCGGCCGGTGGCCGCCGACGTGAGAAGGCCCGCGGGTACCCACGTGGCCGCCGACGTGAAAAGGCCGCCGACGTGAAAAGGCCCTCCTCCTCTTCCTCCTCCTCCTCCTCCTCCTCTTCTCCTCCTTCTCCTCCTCCTCCTCCTCCTCTGCCGGGCCCCGACCCCGTCTTCGGGGTGGGCTTCTCGCCGCGGTCTCGCACCCGTGGGCCCTGCGGCTCGAGAGCCCCCGAGAGCCTTCGGGGCACCGCCGGCGAGACATCGACGTAAAGCCCGGCGGGAGGAAGATGAGGAGGAGGAGGAGGAGGAGGAGGAGGAGGAGGAGGAGGGGGAGGAGGAGGAGGAGGAGGAGGAGGAGGAGGAGGAGGGGGATCGCAGTCAGGAGTCGGCGCACGCTTGATGGGATGGGGCCAGGGCGCGTGGATGCGGCGGCGTCGGGGGGTTGGAGGCGGCGGCGAGGGCGAAGCGGGGGAGGGGGACTGGGAGGGTGGGCATGAGGCCGATGGCTCCCGGGAGGGATTGGGCGCCGAGGAGGGACGGGGGGGACTGGCGGAGCGAGGGCGGGGGAGGTCCAGGGGTAAGAGGAGGGTCATGAGGACCTCCATGCGAATTATTGACGCAATATTGTGGCTGTCGCGCGTTACGTGGTCATGGTGCGTGCGATTTCGCGTGTTGCCCACGTGGTTCGAGCGAGCTCTGCTTCATATTGCTGTTCGCGCCCTGTGGCCCGAGGGTGTTTTTGATAAGTTGTGTTCGCTGTCGTCTTTCGGGCGGGCTGCCGAGGCGAGCGCGAGTTTTTCGCCAGATCGGTCAGTTTGTACATCGCAGTGCAAACGTGATTCCTGGGTGCGCTTGACGGGTGTCCCCGGGAATGGGCGCCGTGAGGGCGAGTCGGTGAGGGGGTCAGAATCGGCGCCTTTGGTTTTGAATTTTTTTGGAACTTTATTTGAACTCCCTGGCGAGCTTTATTTGAACTTTGGACAAAATCAACAAAAGGCCGGGTTTCCCACAGTTCCAGCATTACAACTGTAGCGGCCCGCGTGCGCGACCGCGTAAAGTCGCACTGTCCTCGTGCGTAAGGTCGCTCACCTGGGCGAGCGCAATTCGGGCGTTATGGCAAGGAGGAGCTAGGAAATTCCCAAGGGGAGGCCTCCACAGCATTCTGACAGCCTGAAACGAACTCCGATGGTCGCCGAATGTCTCCGAACACACCAAGCATTCTCCTCTTGCAGAGCGTTGACACATACCACTTAGGTCCCAGTGCTGGCTCGAGGTTTCCGAGGTTCTTCCTTGAGTTTTCTTTCGGGCGAGGCATCAAGGCGCAATGGGGCCAACAAGGGGCTTCGTGCTCACTTACGGTGTCTTCTGACCCAGCTTTGACAGCACTCTTCCTTCAGGATAGGGGGAGCCGGGAGGAGGCGAGGGAGGAAAAGGAAGAGGAAGAGGAGGAGGAGGAGGAGGAGGAGGAGGAGGAGGAGGAGGAGGAGGAGGAGGAGGAGAGAGGCGGAGGAGGAGGTGGAGGAGGAGGAGGAGGAGGATGAGGAGAGGATGACGAGGAGGAGGAGGAGGAGGAGGAGGAGGAGGAGGAGGAGGAGGAGGAGGAGAGGAGGAGAGGAGGAGGAGGAGGAGGAGGAGGAGGAGAGGAAGGAGGAGGAGGAGGAGGAGGAGGAGGAGGAGGAGGGAGGAGGAGTAGGAGGAGGAGGAGGAGGAGGAGGGAGGAAGAGGAGGAGGAGGAGGAGGAGGAGGAGGAGGAGGAGGAGGAGGAGGAGGAGGAGGAGGAGGAGGAGGAGGAGGAGGGGGAGGAGGAGGAGGAGGAGGAGGAGGAGGGGGAGGAGGAGGAGGAGGAGGGAGGAGGAGGAGGAGGAGGAGGAGGAGGAGGAGGGAGGAGGAGGAGGCGGAGGAGGAGGAGGCGGAAGAGGAGAGGGGGTAAGGAGGGAATGATAGTTTCGACGACCTCCTCGCCCTCCGCCTCCTCTCCTCCCTCTCCTTCTCCTTCTCCCCTCCTCCCCTCCTCCCCTCCCTCTTCCCCTTCTATCTCCGCAGAGGCGGAGATGCGGATGGTGCTCGCGGAGCGGACGTCCCAGCTGAGCAAGCCAGAGGCCCGCGAGGTCGTCGTCGTCGTCGTCGTCGTCGTCGTCGTCGTCGTCGTCGTCGTCGTCGTCGTCGTCGTCGAAGGGCCTCTCCACGACTATTCGAAGGGCTGAGCAGGAGTTCGTCTACGGTCAGGAGCTTTTGATTAGCGTGTCGCGCCGCCAGTTCTGGCCCACCGCGGTTCGGCGCGACACGCTATCCGTGTCCCAGTCCCCAGGCGTCGGCGGCGTCAACATCCCGAGCCTTCCCCAGCCTCCCGCTCGGCGTAGCCGAGCGAGACGCTATCAGCTCGCAGGGCATGGCGTGTCGCCAGGGCCGCCGCGGCAATACGCGAAGCACAGGTTGCCGACCGCAGTCCGTGCTGCGCGCAGGACAGAGGAGCTGCAGCCCGCCTCCTTGCGTCGCTTGCTTATCCTCACCAGCTCTGTCGTTCGTCCGGCGCTCAGCTGAGCGCTCTGACTCGCGTCTGACAATGGGCGGATGCGGCGCTCGCTCTGCGGAGGCGGAGGGAGGGAGGTGGGGGGGGGATGAGGATGAGGAGGAGGATGAGAATGAGGAGGGGGAGGAGGAGGAGGAGGAGGAGGAGGAGGAGGAGGAGGAAGAGGAGGATGATGATGATGATGATGATGAGGAGGAGGAGGCAGAGCTGGAGATGGAGGAGGAGACAGTGGATGCTTCTTCCCCCAAGCAGCGCTCGCACTTATATGCGTGTTCTGCGAAGGAATTGTGTAGGTCACCCAAGGCTTTTTTGGTGGCCGCCCGTCCGCTCGTGGCTGCCCCGTGGCCGCCCAACCTAGCTTGCATCACATATCTGGCACTCACACCTTTCACCGCACAGCGTGCACCACGTAGACTGCATCACGGAACTTACACCACATGGCTTGCACCATACAGTTTGCACCTCCCAGCTTGCACCACATCCCCCATACCACTTAGCTTGCACCTCGTAGCCTGCACCGAATATCTTACACCACCTAGCCTGCACGATAGCACCACATAGCTTACAACACAAACGTGGCACCACATAGTTTACACCACATAGCTTGCTCCACATGGCTTGCACCACATAAATTGCACATTCACTGTGCAATAGCTTACTGTTTGGGGTCCACGCTGGCCAATATGTATTTTACAACGCTCTTCAAGCATCTGGGGCAGTCTATAATGTTCCGGAGGTTCTCGGGTGTTATTTGGGGCTCTCGTGGCTTGCTGAATTTTGATGTCATCTTTGGGCCTCATCGCCACTAGAGATGAACGCGCCTCGGAACCCTGGGGATGCGTTCCAGGAGAGGTCTAGCAGCAGATTTTGAGGTGAGGAGGAAGGAGAAGGAGGAGGAGCGCAACGAGAAGGAAACGGATGAGGAAGATGATGATGATGACGAGGAGGAGGAGGAGGAGGAGGAGGAGGAGGAGGAGGAGGAGGCCGAGGAGGTCAGTCTGTGATACAGGCTGGCCCAGGGGGTTTCTTGCACCCACCTCGGCAACATTGTACGACCACCAGTATTGTATTGCGCGCACTGTCTTACTCTACCCTCAGACTCGATGGAGCCACGCATTCTTGCTTTTGTGCTATTCCCACCTGCTGCGAATATTGTCAGACGCCGCCAGCGTCCATTTCGAGGGCCTGGCTCAGGCGACACGCTATTGCCGAAAATGCAAGGCCCTACCTTCCAAGCCTGGCTAAAATTTCAGCTGCCGTCGCCACATCACCAAGGGTGAGCATTCGCACGTCTTCACCAGGGGCCCACTTCTTCATTATTGAGGTGCCCGCTTTTGTGCTGGGCCAGATCGTTGGCATGGCAGTGCGGTCCTGAGTCTTGCAGTGCGCCTCATGCAGCGGGCGGCAGAGGCAAGACCCTTCCGGTCCAACATCGCGAACAACCTCGTCATGGAGGATCATTGGCCACGACCACTTCGCCTATACCTTCGAATCCTCCTGCGGCATGGGCTTTGGTCGGAAGTCTCTGGGAGGGCCGCGGCCTTCCTGGCCCCCGCAGCCCGCGCCAGCAGCAGCCACCGCTGCCGACGTTTCGGCTACTGCCGGGACGTCTTGCTCCGTCGGCAGCGTCGCAAGCGCTAAGGCTGCCACCCCGCGGGCTTCCTCGGCTTCGCCTGCGGCTCCTCCCGCTTCGACGGCGGCGCCGACGCTGCCGCCCGGGCCATCCGCTACAGCGGCCTCAAGGCCGCCAGCTCCAGCCATTTCGGCTACAGCGGCCTCGCCCTGGGCCTCCGCGCCAGACGGGTGCCCACAGAGGGCTGGTCGCCCGGATCCCTCCTGAGCTGGCGGCACCGGTGTCGGCGACCAGGCTGCCAACCGCAGCTTCCGCCGCCGCGCCGGCTGCCTGGGCTCTGCGCGTGCGCCGCCTACCACCTGCGACGACGGCAGCGCGGGGCTCCCCGTGAGCGGTTCGTCCCTGAGCTGCCGTCTCCGGCGAGTGCGTCTGCAACCTCGCCTGCGGTCTCTGGCGGGGGGCTCGAAGATAGGGCGCGGCCCCTCTGCCTCCCGCCGATGTGGTCGCAGCAGCACCAGCCGCCAATCTCGGCGACCACTCGGGCGTCCACTGCGGCGCGGGCCGCGCGGCCGCAGCGACATGGACGCTGTTCGAGCGGATAGCGGCCGTTGCATCAGCCTAGAGGGATCTGGCAGACATGCTGAGCTTGCAGGCTTGCGAGGCCTGGGCACTCTGATCGCAGGCGATTCCCCCCCCCCCCCCACCCCCCCCACCCCCGAGTTCCGCCCGAAAAGCTTGGCCGCTCAGGAAAAGAGGGGAACCCTGGGATGCACCCCAACGAACGGGGGCCATTCGGAAGCACCCCTACCGAGGGTGGACGTCCCCCCTATCGTATATCTCAGGGCTGGGCCCCAAATTCCTGGTCCCCTCGAAGGCCCCACGAAGCCTGGGATGGGGGTCGACATACCCATCGGTCGGAAGAAGTAGGCAGAAACATGAAGCATGAAGGCGGATAAAGTAGATTGGGCTCGGGCCCGCTCAGAGAGTAACACAAAACGCAGCAGAAGCAGATCCCTTCTGGAAGTAGGAACTCGCTTGAAGCAGACTGAGCTGTGGGAGTCCAAAAATACCAACTCTCAACGATCGCTGGGTCTCCCCTCTTGCCTGACGGCTGCAGCTCCGCGCCCGTCTTGCCCACGATGCCCCCGCCGACGGAGGCGCGGGCAGCGTGCGGGCGCTCGGCCGGCCCAGCTGGCCCCCCCTCGGAGAGGAGGGGCGCCGCCCCTCGCCGACGGCACCCGCGAGAAGACCGGCGTGATCGGTGGAGCTCAGAACCTGCACGGGGCATTCCCGAAAAGGCCCTGAGGCCAGCCCACAAGAAACCTCCACAAGAAACCCAACCCTGAGACCCCAGGACGTCCATGGAGTTTTGGCGTGGGAGCGTCACGCTTTCCCTCGCAAGACCATCGAAACCCAGGCAACCCAGGGCACCCTGGAGGCAAGCAGGGTGTTTCTTGGCATGGGCCTCCACTGTATGAGCTGCGGAGTGCCCATCGCGACGCCGCCCCTCGCCTCCCCGCGCACCATCCCTGGGGGCCTATACAGTGAACCCGCACAGTGAGGATGAGGAGGAGGAGGAGGAGGCGGAGGAGGCGGAGGAGCAGGAGGAGGAGGAGGAGGAGGACGAGGAGGCGGAGACAGAGAGGGCGGCAGCCCTGGGGGGGAACTACCAGCGCTTTATCTCGCGCGCCTTCCAGCCAGGGACCTCTGGTGCCTCGCCCGCCCCTCCCCCCCTCCCCCTCCCTCTCCCTTCCCGTCACCCGCAGAGCTTCCTCGCTCAGCCTCCTCGCCCCCCCCTGCTTTTCTTCACTTCTTGCCTTCCCCCGTCCTCTCCTGCTTTGCCGGCGGGCTCTTGGGGGTTTCCGCGGCTGGGGGTTGGCCCTGTCTGCTCTTCTCCGTCGCTCCCCCCTGGGGGGACCTCCTTTGTCCTCTCGTGCCGTCCGCGACCATCTCTCATTTTTTGTGTTAACAGCGTGCCCTCCTGTGTGCCACGCGGCGCTTCGGAGGGGCAGGGCTGCGCCTGGAAGGCGCCATATCAGGTGGAGGCACAGCCTGGGGCTCCCCCCGGAAGGGCCAACACACGTTCCGAAGCCACGACGCTCACCTGGGATCTGACGTTGAACAAACGTTGCAGCATCGTAAGAAATTCCGACCAGAGCCTTAGAATTTTCGAGCCGGATCGATCTGTGATGGCCCAGGGTCCGAAGCTGGGCGAGAACGCCCGCCTTGAACAAACTGCAACGCCCAGATCTCAGGGTCGACCCTCGGCCCATGGAGCCCCTGTCCGCGACGGCGGCGGCGGCAAAGACGTGCCAGGTCGGCGAGAAGGCGCTGCTGTGCAGCGCGCTGTGCGAGATAGTGGAGCTGCTGCAGGAGGAGGAGGAGGGACTCAGCGAGTCCGGGCGCGCGGGGGGTCGAGGGGGAGGGGGAGGAGGAGGAGGAGGAGGAGGAGGAGGAGGAGGAGGAGGAGGCGGAGGACCAGAGTGAAATTATGATACTCCAGCCGTGCTGCATAATCCCCTGGCGTGTCAAGCTCTTTCAGAAATCCCTGCAGGCGTTTTCACTACAATGCCAGTCCCTTTGAACGACAAGCACCCTACGGGCCTGCTTTGCAGGCGAGAGCCCCGTTTTTGCAAACTGTCTGCTGTGCATTATTGTGTAGCTTAATCAGGAGTGCGAAACTATATCATCCGACGGGCTCTTCATTTCGAAAAAGGATCGTCCCCATCCAGGTACCTGCTGCACAAGCTCACACTTCTGGCCAGGAGCTTCGAGGAAGTCTCAAGCGAGAGCTTCTTCTTGAAAAGGAACCGCCCTCTACCCTTTCAGCTGCTACATGTGTTGAAGTTCCCGTTCGCCAAATGCAAGGACGTGTCAAGCGAGCGCCTCATTTTGAAAAGAGGGCACGCTCCATTCCTGTAGCTGCTGCAACTTGTTAGGACGAATGAGCGCGGCGCTGAGGCGAGAACCCACTTTTGAAAAGGACCCGTCCTGGTAGCTGTCGCAAGCTTTCCAGACGAATGTGTGCTCGACGCTAAGGCGAGAGCCCCATTTTTTCAAAGGAACCGCCCTACATCGGTGTAGTTGCTTGACCTTTTCAAGACGAGTGTGCTCAACGCTAAGGCGAGAGCCCCATTTTGAAAAAGACCCGTGCTCCATGTTTGTAGCTGTTGTACGCGTTGCGCACGAACCTGCGCGGTGCGAGCTCCATTTTGAAAACGACCTGTTTCCATCCGCGTACCTGTCACGATTCTCCAGCTTCAGGGTCATGGGTGGTGAGGCTTCTCAAGCGAAACGCCCAGCCCGCACACGCTATGGGGGTGCGACGCGTAGGGGGTCTCTATGCGGGAAAAGGGGGCTGAGGATGATGATGGAGGGTGGAGGGCAGGGGGAGGAGGTTGAGGAGCAGGAGGGCCAGAATGGTCAGCATGGTGCGGAGGAGGTGGAAAAGGGGAAGATGGGGAGTGAGGGCGAGAGGGAGGAGGAAGGAAGGGCGAGGTGGGGGTCGAGGAGCGAGGGGGAGGGGGGGGGACCAGAGTAAATCCATAATGCGCCAACGATGATGCAATACACCCTAGCGTCCCAAGTCTCCTCCTTATATGTCCGTGCAAGCCTTTTCTCGTTACAACCTCGCGGTAGAAGACCCTAATCGGCATAATACCACATTGCTTCTATCATTTGTCGTGTACATACGGAAGACCATACGGGAGACCATATGGGAGACCACACAAGATGCCATACGGGACACCACCTGGGATATCATACGGGATATCAGTCGTGATTCGTATATTACTACCGCTACTACGAATACTCATGATAGCTCGAAAAGGAGTGTTACCACGAACACGACTACGGCAGGTTCGTGTGGTGTCGACCCCGGCGTTGGTTTCTGGCACCGTGGGGATCGTTCGACTTAGACCGATCAGGCGTTTCCGAAGCGTCAGCTCGTTCGGCATCGACCAATTCTGGGTCGCCGGCGCCGTTCAACGTTGCACGCCCGCGGCGGTGTCGTCGCCGGTCGAAGCGACGCGAACCTACCGTTCGGGTGTTGCCAGAAGTGCCCCTGGCCCAAGGTGCCCTCAGCTTTTCGCTCCATTTTGGAGCCCCTGGGGCCCCCTGGGCCTCGTGAAGTGTGCCCTGGAGGCCGCCCGGGCCACCCCAAAAATCCTGTGGGTACCTTGGCTCAGGAGTACCTGTAGCAACACCCGAACCGTGCGAATATGACAGCCCGTGACGGTAGTGCTGGCTCACGCGCCTTGGGGGAGGCGCGCACCCGAGCGGCGGAGGCGGATCGGCTCCGGGCGCTGCGCCAGCCACCCTAGGCCCGCCCCCAGGCGACCAGATTCCAGGAAGGAGGAGGAGGAGGAGGAGGAGGGGGAGGAGGGGGAGGAGGAGGAGGAGGAGGAGGAGTAGTAGGAGGAGGAGGAGGAGGAGGAGGAGGAGGAGGAGGAGGAGGAGATGGAGGAGGAGGAGGAGGAGGAGATGGAGGAGGAGGAGGAGGAGTCCATTGTGTTCAGATGGCTTGCCTGAAATTCAGTTTTTTCTTTCAGGAGTACCTTTGGAGCCGAACTGCGTGGGGAAGAGTCCCAACGGCGAGCAGCCATCAAGGGGTTCAACAACGCGGTCGGGACACACCTCGCGTCCAAGAGGGAGCGCATGGTGGCTTGAGCTGCCGATCGTTATTTGAAGCTGTACCGTTTTGAGGGTTTCGATGATGTCTGCTGAAGTTGCGAAGTTGATCAGCAGGCCGCCAGCGTATCAGTGTTATCCAGTTGCTGAGTGCAAATGTGATTCCATTTCTCAGGATGCACATCAGGCGGCATCGGTGGTGGATACCCATGCCTCCTCTGTGGCCGTCCGAAGTCAAGGTGGCGAAACGATGAGGACGGAGTCGAAGCCTTGGGTAACCATTTTTGCCACAGTCAGTTTGTCTTCCCATGGGCCTCTCGTCAAGTTGGTTGGCACCTCAGGGTCGGCGACCTTGCGATGCTCGCCGCCGTCCAGCACAAGCGTCAGTGTGCAGGCGTGGCCGGAGTTTGGGCGCCTGCGGTGCCAATGGGCAGAGGAGGGGCGGCAGGCGGCGTCGCATTTCTGGTGCCTCAGCATGTCCTCCTCCTCCTCCTCCTCCTCCTCCTCCTCCTCCTCCTCCTCCTCCTCCTCCTCCTCCTGTCTATTTCCCAAACCCCAGCCAAACTCGACCCAGTGCTGTGTCCAGGCCGTGTGGTGGCGGCAACGGTGTGCGCTGTTGTGTCGAGTGTGTGTGTGTGTGTGTGTGTGTGTGTGCGTGCATGCGTGCGGGCGTGCGTGCGTGCGTGCGTGCGTGCGTGCATGCATGCGTGTGTGTGTGTGTGTGTGTGTGTGTGTGTGTGTGGGTCGTGGGTGGTGGTGCTGGTGGTGGTATGTTTTTCGGCATATTTAATGGTTGGTCTCAGATGGCGGGGGCAAACCTTTAGATTATATTTGTCAGCACCGCATGCGTGGCGAAGCTCGGCTTGTTGAATTAGCCCTGGTTGGTAGGTGTGGACTGGGACATGGACCAAGGCAGCGACATCGATGAGTGCTTCGCAGTCTTGCGTGGGCTCCGACACCGCTCGGTTGAGCCCGCGCGCGTCCAGTCAGCCCAGATGTTCGCAGAGATTGTTGCTTCGGAGACGCTGTCACCGCATGTCGGGGCTCCTTCAGTTGACAACGCAGCAAATGTATTTCCTCATTCACCTGTTGCGATCCCCATGATTAGAAGAAGACAGAACCAGATAAACATGAACTTTTGAAGCTCCACGCGGATTTCTTGGATTCGCGCTGGACCTCGCGCAGGAGGCGCCGCTGGAGGGGGCCCAGACGCGGATCCAAGAGATCCGCGCGGAGCTCCAAAAGGTTATGTTTATTGTGGTTGTTTCTTCTTCTAATGATGGGTCAGGCACGTGCCACTGGATATAGTCAGTTGAGCTACGGATGCTACCGAGAGTGCCGCCGACCGGGCGTGTGCCCCTCTGCCCTTGGTGCACGAATGGCGGCAAGTTCAGTTCAAGAAGTCCAAGCACGTCTTCGGAGGGCTCCGTCGGAGGATGCGCTCGCCCGGTGTTGGGGCGAGCTGCTGACGGGCTTCGAGGCGGAGCTGCTGGACAGGCGCAGCATAGTGGATCAGAGTGCATGTCGGAAGCACCACGGTCGCGCTGGCCAGACGGACTGCAATTGGAAGCAGCTGCAACCTGCCAAGCCACGTGCGCCACCTGCGTGGACAGCTTGGAGGGTGGTTTCGGCATTGTCGCAGGTGAGGTCGTGTGTTGAGAAGCCAAACGGCATTGCTGAACATTGCCCAGGCACCCAGTATGCGCTCATGTGAATGAGCAAGCTTCTGTGCGTCATCTACGGTTTCTTCAATCGTGTGCAGCGTAGGAGATGGTTTCTTGATTTCTTTCCATCTGAGGCACCAGCCTTCTTTGACGGTCCAGTGCTCAGTTTTTGTTGTCAGGAGTTTGATGAAGTGGCACATTGCCTGACCTATATAGCATAGGTTGAGATAGGCAAACTCCTTGAAAGATCTTCCGAAAGTTCGGCCAGTTGGGCCCACTCGGCGTTCGTCAATGATGCCGGCAAGGCGCATCGGTTCTCTCGCGCGCGTGAATTGCAAGAGGTGTTTGATGAATGTGCAGGTGGCCGTTCAGGCCTTCGAGAGCGTTGACCAGTGCATGGGCGAACGGCGCGCGATTTGGAGCCGTCATGGATGTACCGAGGCGCAGCTGCCAGGAGATGCTGACGTGGGGCGGACTTCCTTCCATTAGTGTGCAGGATGTGAGGAGAGTTTGAGGAGTTTTTGGAAGACGGCCTTCGGTCAGGTCAAGTTTTACCCTCGATGGTTAGATTGTATTTCTTGCCCAAGGCCTGTATACCCTAGCGCTGCTGTAAAAAAACACTGGTGAGAAGCTCCTTCGTTGGCCTGTTAGCCGAGCCTGAGCGCGTCGTGCTCAAGTCGGCAAGCCGTCAGGGGGCCGCAGACTCATTGCGATGCCAAAAATTCTAGCCCGCATATGGGGTCGAATCCGAAGACCCATCTCTGAGTTCTGGGAGGCCAACAATCGCCATCCGGCCTTTTGTGGTGCGTGCCTTCCAGGAGCTCCTCTGACGCTGCGTTTGCTCATGATGTGGAGGCGGAGGTTGCGGGAGCGGTGAGGGGGCGCAGCGTTCTGGCCCTCGTAACATGCATGAATGCCACGAGTTGAACGCCTTGACGAGGCTCGTGCGCTCGAATGCCCACTTGGGATGATGTGAATGGTTCTTTCCTGCTGTAGGTGCCCATGGTGCATTCAAGCGCTCGGGCCCCTGCGTGTTGCAGCTGTCTCGAGCCGAGGGGTCCTGGCAGGCCACGCAGCCCCCCGCTTGAGTCTGATTGTGCCGGCCGTCA